CGCACCCCCGCCCGGGCACCTGCCCTGGGTGCCCCTTAACCCGGGCGGTGGCTCGTTAGGCTGGCGAAGGGTCCAGTCAGTAACAGGCGAAATCTCCTATCTCGCCTGCCCGACCTGACCCCCGGCTCCGCTGGACGACGGACCTGGCCTCACGACGCGTAGCGCACAGCCGCTGCCTGGGCACCGGTGCGTGGGAACCCTTGGACCTTTGTAACGCCACGTGTTTGCCCTTTTTGAAGAAACGAGAATAAATGTGTTAAACTCCGAAAAGCTTGCCGCCCAAAAGATGTCTGGATGACGTAGATGCTAGGATCACAGGTTGTTTTCAATGTAAATGGACCGGCCCGGACTTGTAAGGGCACAAGCAAGGGAATGAAAGCATCTTCAGGTACTGATGCGCTATAGGCAGATCAGACGGTTTTGTGTCTTTTTTAAACTTAACAATGCATCACAGTAATGCTGAACTGCACCAATATTACAGATCACAGCGCGTCATCCTTCAGCGTGATTTAACACAGCTGACTTAATATAGTGGATAAATGTAGAATCACAAATTACCGTATCCCACCTCCGGCTTCTAGTTGGTAATTTTGAGCAAGTTGTTTAACCTCTTTATACCTCATCTGCTTCATCCTAAAAATAGGGGTACTAGCCTGGCGTGGTGGCTAACGCCTGTAATGCCAACACTTTGGGTGGATTTGGATCCGAGGTGGGCGGATCACTTGAGGTCAGAAGTTCAAGACCAGCCTGGTCATCATGGTGAAACCCCGACTCTACTAAAAATACAAAAAGAGTTAACCAGGCTTGGTGGCGGACACCTGTAATCCTAGCTACTTGGGAGGCTGAGGTAGAATTGCTTGAACCCAGGAGGTGGAGGTTGCAGTGAGCCGAGATCATGCCACTGCACTCCAGCCTGGGCGACAAAGCAAGACTGCGTCTCATAAATAAATAAATAATAGGAGTACTAACATGTACCTTAAAGGATGAGGGTTAAATGAAGGACACACATAAGGCCTGGCACAGTGGTTTACGCCTGTAATCTCAGCACTTTGGGAGGCTGTGGCGGGAGGATCACTTGATCCCAGGAGTTTCAGACAAGCCTGGGCAACAGAGACATGTCTCTACAGTTGTGTTGTGTTTTTTCCAGGTGTGGTGGTGTGCACCTGTAGTCCCAGCTACTAGGGAGGCTGAAGTGGGCGGATTTCCTGAGCCCAGTAGATCGAGGCTGCAGTGAGCCATGATTGTGCCACTACACTCCAGGCTGGGCAACAAAGCAAGACATTGTCTCAAACACAAACAAAAAGCATACACACAAAGTGTTTGACTCCTATATGATTCAACACATGGTGGTGGATTCTTGAATCCTTTCCCAACTCAGATCTCGTAGGATTTTCTGAACTTTTGGAGAACCCTTACCTCTCTTTGGATATGCAAACCTTCAAAGTGAGGCACTCCCTTCTGCCACCACATAAAGCATTTGATCTTAAACTTGACGATGTCCTTTTGTTCCAACTTCGGGTAAATTAAACTCGGTCAAATTAAACTCGGTCGGGGTTCTCTGAACAGCCCTTTAGTCACCATGCCATTGAATACATGGCCCTCTTGTTGGAAACTGGGGTAGAATAGTGATTGCAAACATCTATCATGTGACAGTGAGGCCCCACAGCAGGGGACAGAATACCACCACCAGTTCCAGAGAATGCCTATACACCGAGGAGGCTGGGGTGTGGGAGAGAAAAGTGACTTGCAGAGCTGCCAAGAAAGCCTGAGCTACAGGATCCTGGCCTACCACTGGTGGTTTCCCACCACTCAGGTTCTAAAATAACTTCCTAAACTCGGGCTTCACGTACAGAATGAAGCCTCTGCAATGCCATGGAAAGGTAAATCTTTATTCCAATGAAATGTTATTTTAAAGAAAAGCCGATGGCACGGGCACAAACCAACCCTAGGGAAGCCTCCCTGGAGCTGTGGTTCTTGGGGGTCCCAGCCGCCACTCTGCAGAGATCTTGAAGGTCCTAGTAAACCTGCCAGCGGCACTATGTGCAGGCTGGTTTTTTGGCAAGGGTGGCTTTCCCAAGAGCTTCAAAATTTTGGAGGCAAACACCTAGGTGTTCTCAAGCAAATGGCAACTAAGTCACTGCTGCTCAATCTGCACCTGAAGGAGACGCCCCTGGAGACATCCACTCCCTACAGCCTCGCCCACCAGCGCATCTTAGGTGTCTGTGGCTTTTTCAAGGACAGCTTCATGCTCCTAGTGCTGGAGCTCTGCCACCACAGGCCTCTCGTGGAGCCACACTCGAGGAGAGCACTGACCAGCCCGAGGGCACTACTGCTCCAGTACATCATCTGTGGCTGCCGCCACCTGCCTGAAACTGGATTATACACAGGAACCTCAAGCTGCATCCCCTCCTCCTGAACCATGACCTGGAGGTGAAAACGGGGGAATCTGGACTGCCAACCAAAGTCGAACATGACGGGAGGCAGAAGGCGGCCTTGGGTGGGACTCCTGATTACGTACCTCCCAGGGTGCTGGGAAAGGGCACAGTTTCAAGGCGGATGTGTGGTCCCTTGGGTGCATCACACATACCTTGTTAGTTGGCAAGCCACTGTTTGAGACCTTGTCTAAGAGACCTGCCTCTGCTCAAGAACACAGGGTTCCCAAGCACAGTTACCCCATGAACACCTCCCTCATCCAGAAGATACTTCAGACAAACCTGACCACCCCCCGCCCCCCGCCCCAAGCCCCTGAGAAGCTGCTGAATAACAGGTTCTTCACATCTGGCTGCAGCCCTGCCCATTCCCCATCATCTGCCTCACAGTGCTCTAGGGTTCTCAATCCCTCCCAGCAGCCTGGACCCTTGCAACTGCAAGCCTCTCATGGTCCTCAAGGCATAGAGAACCCCTGCCTGAGGAGCCCCAGGAAAAAGAACTGGTGGCTTAGGGAATGGGACAGGCAGTCGATGCCACTGTGGTGACATGCTGCAGCAGCTACACAGCACGGGCTGGTGAGGCAAGGGGAGGTTGAGGATCCCGCCTGTGTCCCCAGCTTCTGGGTCAGGGAGCAGGTAAACTGTTCCAATAAGCATGGCCTAGGGAATCAGCTGTGTGTCAGCAGTTTCACACACGCCTTATCCTTGAAACACCATGACAGCCTGCAGTGCCGTAGTGCTCTCTTATCAGAGGGGACACATTCCAAGACCTCCAGTGGATGCCCGCAACCACAGACAGCACCAAACCTGACTCGCTGTGGCTGTAACATTGGCAGTTTGAGGTGCAACAGCAAAACTAGCATGAATTTCCTTTTCCTTCCCAGTGTCATGAAGATTCGTTTTACTGTAGATCTCAGCAACTTCAGCATACAATTTTTTTCTTTCCTTATTAAGTGGAGAAGTTTTACGTTTTCACTTAAAAGAGCACTTGACAGCTTCTCTGGCATATCTGTAGTGCCAGCATCACTACTCTTGGGCTTTGGGGACATTATGAAGTAAAATAAGGGCTACCTGAACATGAGCTGTGGACATACTGGTTACTTGAACATGAGCTGTGGACATGGGGAGAATTCTAGTCCCAGGCAGGAGGGTGTGGGATGGCACAAAATTTCATCATGCTACTCAAAACTGTGTGCTATTTCAAACTTATCAACTGTTTATTTCTGGAATTTTCCATTGAATATTTTTGGACCTTGAATGACCACAGGTAACTGAACTCTTGAAAAGTAAAACTGTGGGTAAGGGGAAATGCTGTCCACAGAGCGTGATGACAAGTCTTGCCCCACTGCAAGTTCCCATCCAGCTCACTGATGGAGATCACCCCCAGTAAGTATTTCCACAATCACCTGAGCAAACATGTACTGAAGGCGGGAATGTCACGCCACGGGAAGGCCATGAGCCTGCCTGTGCCCTCCTCCCGGAGCACCTGGCTCCCTACTGCAGCACCATCATGCCGCCCTCAGCAGTGGCACCATGTGGGGCTGTGCAAGGCTGTCCAAGCACATCGTCCTCGCAGGGGGCTTGCTATAGAAGTTCTGTTTGTACATGCTCCAGGGTCGATTCCAGAGCCTCCTCCCCTTCCCTTCAGTCTCACCATAGGAATTACATAGAATATGTATGTATTTCTTTTCTTTTTTTGAGACGAAATCTCGCTCTGTCACCCAGGCTGGAGTGCATTGGAGTGATCTCGGCTCATTGCGACCTCCGCCTCCTGGGCTCAAGTGATTTTTCTGCTTCAGTCTCCTGAGTAGCAGGGATTATAGGCACCTGCCACCACACCCCACTAATTTTTGTATTTTTAGTAGAGATGGGGTTTCACCATGTTGGCCAGGATGGTCTCAATCTCCTGACCTCATGATCCGCCTGCCTCAGCCTCCCAAAGTGCTGGGATAACAGGCGTGAGCCACCACGCCCAGACAGGCATTCCATAGAATATTTCTGCTGAATTCAGGACTGTCCTGTGCTTGGCTTTATACTCATTAAACACAGATGAATCTTTAAAAAGAAAAATAACACACAGGCCAATACTGAGACTGCAGCACAGATAGACTGGAACAGGTGTTGAGGACAGAACCACCTAACTCTGGTTTCCAAGTGATTAGATTTCAAGTACTTGAAGTTACAAAAACACAGAAAAGTCTCCTAGGAGCTGTCTCTATCTGCTCTCTTCCCTTTTTTACTTCCCCCTCTTTCTTGAATCCATTACAATCTAGCTTAACGGTTGAAATGGCTCATGGAAAAAAAATCACCAATGATCTCCATCCACACTGCCAAATTCCATGATCAAATCAATCTTTACCTTACCCAACCTACCAGGAGTAGGAGATCCAGAATTCAACTCGGTAGCTTCCAAAGGCTAGGCTCATTGTTACACACAATTTGTTAGAGTGCCGGCTTTTAATCAGTTATGACCACGAATTTCGTAAGTTAATTTTTTGCAATCACTTCTAAGAAAAAAAAAAAGATTATTCCAAACAACCCAATTACAAACATCTACAACACAACTCTTTCAAAGGAAGCCGAAACAACTACTTTTATTGTTAAACTTTCAATTCACAGATTAAGTTTCAAAGGTTCTTATTTCCCTTTTTTTTTTGAGACAGGGCCTTGCTCTGTCTTAAGGCTGGAATACAGTGGTGTGATCTTGACTTACTTCAGCCTCCACATCCTAGGCTCAAACAGTTCTCCTGCCTCAGCCTCCCAAGTAGCTGCGACTACAGGCATGCACCACCATGCCTGGGTAATTTTTGTATTTTTTGTAGAGACAGGACACGTTGCCTAGGCTGTTCTCAGTTGGCCTTCCAAACTGCTTGGATTATAGGCGTGAGCCACCATGCCCGGCCCATATTTTCCACATTCTTATTAAGACACCCCATCCACAGTGGTCCAATCAACTTTCAAATTAGCTCTGGGGAAAAATACATTTAATGAAAGCTAGAAAACCTAGAGAAGATCTTGCTCATCTTTCACTATAGCTACAGACAGCTCTGCACCACATTTGCACCAATCAGCATGTTTGCCCATGTCCTGCCCTGGAGAGAATTTTACAGACTCACTGACAAGGTGTGTTCACCTATGCTCATCACATAACACTGATTCCGATTCATACCTAATTTATCAATCTAAGACATTACTGGATCACGTAACCTTACATATAACTACCTGACAATATTTTCACATGAAGTTGCTGCTGCTTATTACACATCAAAGTTCACATCAGTGTGGCATGAAGTCAAGAGGATTCCAAGCTAACTCCATCAAAACCTTGCGGGGGTCACACAGCATCTCCCAGTGTGTAGATTTTCACATCTAAGTTCTGAAGACATGATCTAGGAGTGGAAGAGCTTCTGATGTTGACCACGGACCTTCTGAGTGCAAGTCACATCTGGAAATCTTGTAGGCAATGTCATGGGCAAAATTGTGTCCATAAAAAGTGTGCTCAGGTCTGTTTATGATAGATTATCCCATCATGAAAAAACAACCCTACAGAATCCAGACTTTTAACCAATCTACTAGCTTATGCGTCAGCGTACAATGCTGAGCTCTGAATTTTAAATGTGCATGTACTGTCATATTCATATAGTGACACAGTCTTCAAAGCACTAGGTATATGGTTCTCAAAAATGGTTGGCTTTGTAAGACCCAAACTAAAGACATTTCATAGTAGGTTTGAATGTTAATGCATATTGTGAGGGTTTGTCCATAATGATCTTCACACCGATAAAGGTATTCACTAAAATGCAAAAATTCATTACACAAACCAAGAATAAGCTTCTAACTTATTATTTTGACAGATATATCATGTCACACACATAATTTGTCCGTATTTTACTATTCCATAAATACTTAATATTTATATCAATAATGCTACTGGAATGGAATATTACATAGAAAAATGTATGAAAACCAGATATAATAAGCTCTAAAGGGCAAAATTTCAGTTATAAAATGGGTCAGAGGCTGAGAAATCACTACTTATCCACAAGAATTGCTTTATAAATCAAAAGATGACTGCAAGTTTCTCTTACATATCCAAATCTAGGAATAAATTCATTCCATAGCATATTTGAGACAAACCAACAAAAATGTAATGTAGGAAGTTAATATTATTCGTGGCAAACCAACAGAATGAAATTTGGTAGGCTTATTTAGTATGAAAAGGAATAATCTAGATTTTTTAATATGCTATAAGAGTCCATGTTAAGTCATTCTGACAAAAAATCTCTTCAAAAATATGGTAACCATAAAGTTGCTCAAAGACACCACACAGACACAGAGAGAGACACACACACACACACATAATTCTCTAATGAAATACCAGTTGAAGTGCAGCATTTTCTGAACAGATAGTCAAACAGCTAGAGCTACACAATACACACAGATTTTTCCTGCTAATAGTACCAGCAACCTTAGTTATAAAGTAATACTTTTCAGTAGTCTTTCCTGATGCACATTCCAGTACAACTCCTATAGTGAAATAGTCAATTCCCCTAAAAAAGCAACATCCAAAATTATAAAAGCTGACAAATCACATTATATTTCAATACTAGACTGCTGTGCCTCCTAGAACAATAGAAAAGCGTTACTTTTGAACAGCTTAGGAGAAAAGCACTGAAATTTAGATAATCTTCAGTCAGCGTCAGTCATTATTGACTCTGTGCCATTCACACACCCTTGAGGTTTCTTCACAGCACTCTCTGACAGTATCACAGCTGCTTTGCAAATGACACATCAACAGTATGCTAAAAATCAGCAATAAAACACATAAGATAAATTAAATGTGTTTTTCCAAATGTCGGAGTACCAAGGTTCCCAGGAGTCGGCAAAACTTCTCAAGTGGCCATCCAGACTCAGGCCGTGCAGGATAAGGCCTCTTTACGTAGTGAGCGGTTGAGAATATTTGCTCCCCACACCCAGAGCCATTCAGGCATGTACTGTGCAAAAAGAAACTAAAAATGAAAGAGAGAAAGGTTGTAAGGTTAGAACCCTAAAACATCAACACTGAAGGAATAAGACCAGCACATGATACCCACCAATCACAACAAATATCCGCCAATCAATTACAACAAATACTCAACAGTCACAAAACCCACCAAACAACTACAACAATTACCCACCAATCAATCACAACAAATACCCACCAATTACAACAAATACCCACCAATTACAATTACCCACCAATCAAAACAAATACCCACCAATCAATCACAACAATTACCCACCAATGACAATTACCCACCAATTACAATTACCCACCAAGCATAACAAATACCCACCAATCAATCACAACAAATACCCACCAATCAATCATAACAAATACCCACTGATCACAACAACCACCCACCAAACACAACTACTATCCACCAAACACAACAAATACCCACCAATCACAACAATTACCCACCAATCAATCACAAATACACACCAATCACAATTACCCACCAATCACAACAACTACCCACCAATCACAACAAATACCCACCAACCACAACAATTATCCACCAAGCATTACAAATACCCACCAATCAATCACAACAAATACCCACCAATCACAACAAATACCCACCAATCAATTACAACAAATACCCACCAATCACAACAAATACCCATCAGTGATAACAAATACCCACCAATCAATCACAACAAATAACCACCAATCAATCACAATTACCCACCAATCACAAATATCCACCAATCAATCACAACAAATATCCACCAATCACAACAAATACCAATCAATCACAATAATTACCCACCAATCACAACAAATACCCACCAATCACTACAAATATCCACCAATCACAACTATCCAGAAATCACAACAAATACCCACCAATCACAACTACTATCCAGAAATCACAACAAACACCCACCAATCACAAGTACCCACCAATCACATAAAATACAACAAAGGAAAAAATATTCAGTACAGGAACTACTGTATTGAATATCTATTTTTGCCTAAGATCCTGCCCTGGATTCTACAGGGAATAGAAACATGACCACCACCCACCTACCCTACTCTCTGTAATGGGGCTGGACTGTCCTGCATATAAATACAATTCTATCTTTACCTAATATGATATGAACAGCATGTTCACTGGTTAAGAACTACCAAATCACTGGCCAGATGCTGTGGCTCATGCCTGTAATCCCAGCACTTTGGGAGGCCTAGGTGGGCAGATCACCTGAGGTCAGGAGTTCAAGACCAGCTTGGACAACATGGTGAAACCCCACCTCTACTAAAAATACAAACATTAGCCAGGCATGGTGGTGCACACCTGTAGTCCCAGCTACTCAGGAGGCTGAGGCAGGAGAATCACTTGAACCCGGGAGGCAGAGGTTACAGCGAGCAGAGATCGTGCCACAGCACTCCAGCCTGAGTGACAAAGTGAGACTGTCTCACCAACAACAATAAAAAAGCTATAAAACCATTATAGGAATAAGTTAGTCGGAATAGACAGGCACACACATGGTTAGCACTGTATGAGAAAACTGGGGCTTGAGGAGCAGGATGGAACAAAGTTCAACAAGAAAACAGGTCAGAAACACCAGGACCTTGGGATGGTATCTTGACTTATGATGAGGGACGCTCAGGGGACCAGGGGAGGGAGTCTGCTGATGCCGTTCTGCCCTCTCACTCAGGCCTTTGTGCCAGGAGCAGACAGGGCAATGTCTGAAAATGTATTTGTTTGTGATACTGGGAGTGGATGCTACTCGTATCTAGTGACTGGAGGCCTGGAATGCTGCTCAACATCCTGCAATGCCCAGGACGCTCCCCATGACATGGAATTATCTGCTCTCAGTGCCACCAGTGCTGAGGTGGAGAAAGCCCACACTCCTCTAACAGATTTGTCCAGAACTGAATGAAAGTTCTAATGCTGTGTATATTAAAGATGAGAGACAGACAGGCCTTTAGCAAGTACTGACATCTAGCCTTGAACTGAACTGATGCATGATAACAGAGGTCATCCAATCCTCTTGTCAATAAATGGATACAGGTTACTCTCCAGGGAGGAGACACAGACAGACAGACAGATAGACACACACACACACACACACACACACACACACACACACACACAGTGAACAAAAAGAGGAGACAGACACACACACACACACACACACAGTGAACAAAAAGAGGAGACACACACACACACACACACACACACACACACACTCACACACACACTCTGTGAACAAAAAAAAATCAAAGTAGCAAAAGCTACCACAGAAATATGCCACAGACAAAACAGCAAAGGATGAATCAAATCTTTGTTGTAAAACTGGAGATAAAAAATAAGTGTTAAAAGTAATTTGAGTAACATAAAATGAAAATAGAAGGTTTTAACAACTTTATACAGAAAACTACTCCAGTAATTAAACTAGCTTAACATAATTTCTTGGCAGAAAAATACATTCTCAAAGAAAGTTTATCAATGTGAACAAAATTTTATTGTGAGTAAAATGTTGGTGTTTTATACACACAGTCAAAAAAATCTCTACTGCATCTAAACCCCATCATATCTTTATTTCTAAAAATGTTATGCTCAGCAACTTCTAAGACTACTTTTTAGGTTTCTGTGCTTTTCTCAAGTTATTAAAGGACCTGGACACAACTACTTAAATAAAACTGCTTCTTTTTTTTTTTTTGAGACGGAGTCTTGCTGTGTTGCCCAGGTTGGAGTGCAGTGATGCAATCTCAGCTCACTGCAACCTCCGTCTCCTAGATTCAAGTGATTCTCCTGCCTCAGCCTCCCAGATAGCTGGGACTACAGGCATGCACCACTATGCCCAATTAATTTTTTTATCTTTAGTAGAAATGGGGTTTTGTCATGTTGGCCAGGCTGGTCTCAAACTCCTGACCTCAGGTGATGCACCTGCCTCAACTTCCCAAAGTGCTGGGATGAGAGACATGGGCCACCATGCCCAGCCAAAACTGCTTCTTATTTAAAAAAATCTATCACCAAACCTCTTCATAAAAGTAACAATTAACTGTTGATTTACTTGTATGTTTATTTGGTACTGGTAAATCTAATACTCTTTATGCAAACAGTCCCAAAAATATCTGTTTGGTAATTAAGAAAACTCCGAATATTAAAAAAAAAAAAAAAAATTGGCCAGGCGTGGTAGCTCACACTTGTAATCCCAGCACTTTGGGAGGCTGAGGCAGGTGGAACACCTGAGGACAGGATTTTAAGACCAGCATGACGAACATGGTAAAACCTGTCTCTACTAAAAATACGAAAATTAGCCAGGTGTGGTGGCAGGTGCCTGTAATCCCAACTACTCCAGAGGCTGAGGCAGGAAAATTGCTTGAACTCGGGAGGCGGAGGTTGCAGTGAGCCAAGATAGCACCATAGCACTCCAGCCTGGACAAGAGCGAAACTCGGTCTCAAGAAAAAAAAAATTCTAAACTAGGGCACATCTCTTTATTACACCAGATAGAGAACACAAATATAATAATTATGCATTATCATATTAATACTTTGCATCACAATTTCAAATCTCTAACAAAATTACTTTCTGAAGTACTAAAATATCCCAATCCTTTGTCATGCCTGAACAATAAGCTTAAAATACAAATTCTACGCTTCTTGAAAAAATGAGTCTAAAAATATACAGAGATATTACTTGATAAAATGGTTACATGAAATATAACCCTATCTTGTGGTTTTGTGGTTTTCTGGTATTGCGTTTGTCACTTGGAGGTAGCCCTCAAGCTGTATTAGAATCCTTTACTTTCAAATTCCCGTAGAAATACTTTATAGTGTTCTTGTCGTCCTACCATCCCCATCCACTGACAGCAGCATAAGTGTTTTTTTTTTTTTTTTCTTTCTGGAGACAGAGTCTTGCTCTGTTGCCCAGGTTGGAGTGCAGTGGTGTGATCTTGGCTCACTGCAACCTCTGCCTCCCGCGTTCAAGCAATTCTCATGCCTCAGCCTCCCAAGTAGTTGGGACTACAGGCGCACATCACCACGCCCAGCTAGTTTTTCTATTTTTAGTAGAGACGGGGTTTCACCGTCTCTAGCCAGGCTGGTCTCAAATTTCTGACCTCAAGTGATTCGCTCACCTCAGCTTCCCAAAGTGCTGGGATTACAGATGTGAGCCACCACGGCTCAGCCAAAGCAGCCTATTTCACCTTTTAGGTGTCACATACATTGAACTTTTGAAAATTCTTAATATAATAATCTCACAAAAGAGAATTTAGTGTCTTTGCCAAAATCATTAAGTGGCAGGTTTAAGAATCCAAATTTACAATTCTCATCTCAGGCTTTAATCAGATTCCTCCGTATCACTGAGAAAGGTTCAGGATGCATTAATCTAATTATGAGACCTGAAAGCACACACCTACCTGAATAGAATGGGACCAGTATCCTGTGGTCCTTTTGGAAATCCCAAGGGTAGAAACAGCATGATGTGCATAGACTTTTGGCGACGGCACCAACCACGAGCACCTGTGCAAAAAGCTACTGGGCACTGTCGTGTTGGTGGCTACACAGAAAGGGATGAGGCTCTGTACAAAGATTCCCTTAGAGGCATATTCATACTGCAAGGCTCTGCTGAAGTGGTCTAAATAAGCCTGTTAAGACAGAGGGGAGGAGAAGACTTAATTCTGGGTGAACTTGAAAATTCAAGAGAAAAAAAAAAAACTTGCTTCTTAACAATTCAGGAAAAAATACAGGATAAGCAAACATAAATTGCTGACAAAAAGTTCAACAAATCAGACCAAACAACTGTTAATAAATGTTCCGTTGCATTAGGATTTCATTTTCTAGTAAGTACTATCTGACCTTAGAAGCAGAAAATGCAGCCAGCTGAGGAGTGGGTTTGCAGCAGGAGCCGGAAGAGATTGTGACAATGGCACCTTTCTTTCTCTCCACCATTCCTGGTAACACTACATGGACCATCAAACTAGCGGCGGCAATGTTCACATTTATGATGTCCCAGAGTGTGTCCTCGGAGAGCTGCGTGAAATACTGCGGGTAGGGATAAAACACACCCACGTTATTTACCAAGATGCCAATGTCTTTGTCTTTCAGGGCTTCTCGAATGGGAAGGTAGATCTCACGGCCACTGCTGAAGTCCGCAACGATAATATCAGTTTCCACTTTGTACGTGTCGGCTATGTCTTTAGCAACAACCTGCAGCTTCTCCTCGTTCCGACTAATCAGGATGATACTGAGACCTCGGCTTGCTAACTCTTCAGCGTAGGCTTTTCCAATCCCATCTGTTGCACCTAGGATGCAAGTCAGGAAAAGTCAGCATGTGCATTTCACGATGTGACCCTTTAACATGGACCTCAAGTACGCCCTGCCAGGTATAGTCAGAGAAAGATTCACACTAGAAATCAAGTGAGTTCTAGTGCATCTATGAGTCAAGGACACTGTTGCTGAATCAAGAATGTGAAGGACGCATGCGAAACACTCTCCCAGACATCCCGACACGGGGACAGGAAGTCACTTTACATTCACCACAGTGGTTGGAAGATACAGGAGGAATTTGTTTTCAAACTACTATCTGGCTTGAATGAGTGGCAGGAGGTGCTTTTCTGGAAAATACTCATAAATTAAAGTGAAATTCAAAATAAGTGAAGCATTTCTGAAAGTGGTGACAGTTTGTAAAGACAATTTTACAAGGAAGAACAAAAAGGAAAAGCGATTGGTAGGAACGTGGGTCTGGAGGAGGCCTGGGAACAGGAGAGGGCAGATCAGGAAGGATACCAACTATGAGGCAAGTTCTTCCTGAGCTGAGAGCAGTAAGAAAATGTGAACATAATCACGACAGGAGCCGTAACTTGATTTCTGTATCAGTGTGTTCCCATGAAAACATCACATTCAACAGCTCCTTGAATAATGCATCCGACTTCATAGAAAAGATTATTGGGATTGTAAAGTAGGTTACCACTGACGACGGCCCATCTTCCATACTGCTTGATCAGGTCTGCTCTGCTCCCCAGGCGGGGGATAAAATGCAGCCTGATGAGGCTGTAAAAGTCACAGATGACAGTGATGCTTTTTCTGGCCGTATACCAGGCTCCAACCAAAGCTAGAGCTTCTACATAGCAATTGCAAGACCTGGCGATTTCCCTGTACAAGAGGTAGAAGCTGTCAACAGCAGCCATGGCAACCTGCAGGGAGGGGAAAGAGAGAGTCTTTTTTGGTTAATAAATTAAAGGAACATATACAGTCTGAGTGAAGACATCCAGCTAAGGGCATCAGATCTTATCAACTGTGCATTCAAAGAATAATAACTTGTCAAATGCATGTGACCCATGCATTCAGTCTATTTATTTATGTTTTTTTTTTTTTTTTTTTTTTTTAAAAACAGAGTCTCTTTCTGTTGCCTAGGCTGGAGTTCAGAGGCACAATCTTGGCTCACTGCAACCTTTGCCTCCTGGGTTCACGCGATTCTTCTGCCTCAGCCTCCTGAGTAGCTGGGACTACAGGCACCCGCCACCACACCTGGCTAATTTTTTATTTTTAGTAGAGAGAGGGTTTCACCATGTTGGCCAGCCTGGTCTTGAACTCTTCACCTTAGGTGATCCACCCACCTCAGCCTCCCGAAGTACCGGTATTACAGACGTGAGCCACCGTGCCCGGTGAACCAGTCAATTTATGATCTAATCATTTAACATCTGTAGCTTATAAAGTTATTTTCTTCCAAGGAGACTAATCAACATAACTACCAGAAGTTACCAAATTCCCACCAAAATTCAGGTACTACACTACATGTTGTGGCTACACAGATAAACACAATATGCTCTGTACCTGAAACACGCTCCTTGTCTAATAGTGACAGACACGAACCTTCTAATTCACATAGGAGAGGTGCATTTATTTCTTTGTTTTATTCATACACAGAGGACTTACCACCTGTGTAGGGACAAAGCAGATGAAACACAGTGGAACTAAGACATGGCCTTGGCCTCGAAAGCTTGCAATCCACTGGAGACAAAACTGAGCTTTCAAAAACCTTCACATCAATTTGAATTTTTTTTTTTTAAAGAGACACCCTCCAAACTTGGAAAAATGGCTTCTCAAATGACAATGGAGTGAGCACTCCTTCATCTTCTAACTTAATTTGTAACCAGTATGTTGCCTGGCCCCTTACCTTTAAGTAAAGAAAAGCCCAATACAACCCTTTTGAGTGTCCACATAGCAAGCATATACTAAGCACCTACTATGTTCTATGCACTGTGATTCAAAGGATTCACAGATGAACTAAATGAGTGTCCCTAGGTGAAGACACAGACATGTAATAAAACAATTTAAAATGCCACATGATCTGGTAGATGTGCGTCTGCAATCAGAGATAACCCTGCAGAGGCAGACGAAGGCCAGACATGGTGGACCCTGGCCACGGACTGAGTGGGTGGACTTCACCTCGAGCTAAACCAACTGTGCGACCCACGAAGGACAAAATATCAGAAAGACTGCAATAAGCTAAACTTATACTACAGGGAACTCGGATATACACAAACCCAAGGACACAGCCTATATTCTAAAAAGAAGATTGATTTTAAGCCAAAAGAAAATGAAATATAAAACTTCTGGGGGTGGCCCCCTTTAAAATAGAAAAAAAAAAAAAAGTGTGAAAACTAAGAAAAGACTCAACAATAGAGGCAAAAATTAGCCTATGTTTATGAAAGAACGGGTGACTTCCCTCCTACTCCACTGCAGTGTAATCTGACCTCAACCAAGTTTTGCAGAGTAAAAAAGAACCAAGCAGAGGAAAACAGATTAACCACTGAAATGGAAACATGCAAGAATGGCACCAGATTGAGAAAAAAAGGCATACGAAATAATTTTAAAATGGCTGCATAAATATATAAAAATGTGTAGTCTGAATTACAAATCAACAAAACATACAAAAGTAATATGACTGGAAACTGAAGAAATGGATCAGCAGTAGGACTGATAAATGCCCTACAATGAGGAAACAATCTCTCCAACAACAAAGTTCCATACTGGTACCATATTAAGTTGATACTGCTACCATATTAAGTTACCAAATTAGGCTGATGTGGCATTAAGTTTAAAAAATGTTTTCCTGCCAGGCGCGGTGGCTCACGCCTGTAATCCCAACACTTTGAGAGGCCAAGGCAGACAGGCCACTTGAGGTCAGGAGTTCAAGACCAGCCTGACCAACATGGTGAATGAAACCTCATCTCTACTAAAAATACAAAAATTAGCCAGGTGTGGTGGTGAATGCCCAGCTTGGGTGGCTGAGGCAGGAGAATCACCTGAACCCAGAGGCGGAGGTTACAGTGAGCCGAGATCACACCGCTGCACTCCAGGGTGGGCAACAGACTCCATCTCAATAAAACCAAGACTCTATGTTAGACCATCGTAAATTGTGAGGTCTGGAAATAACTCATGAAACGTGTGCCTTTTGTCATAACGAATCAAACACAAGGCCATGAGGAAAGCAGATGCAAAAACAATTACCTGGATATACCAGGACCTCTCAAGCGAAATGTAGTAAAAGTGGGAATAATAAGCTACAAATAAAGAAACCTAGAGGCTTGGAATATTAAGCTTACTCTTGTAATAGCAGATAGGCATATAGCTAGGCTGGTAAAGCAGTGTTTTCAATGCAAAAATAAATACTACATATCAAGATCAATGGCTGTAGCCAAAGCAGTATTTGTGGGGAAATTAGTTGCTGTAAGAGCGTGGAGTAAGGCCCTCGCTACAGAAAGGAGGCCAGGCATGGCTCACGGGGGGACCTCACACTGATGGGAGCTTCCTCCTTAAGCCCGATTTTTTTCAAGAATCTGAACCTTTTTGAAGTAAATCTCTAGCAAAAGGTGCCCGACCACAAAGGGGGTCCCAGATTTTCTGCTGTGATTGTTCCCTGCCCTGGGGTCTCTCACCTTCTCTCTGCCAGTTCTGGGCCGTCAGCAGTATGCAGCTCTGTTTTTTCTCTTAAGGCCAATCTGTGAATAAAACCAATGAGAAACAAATGCCTTTCCTTTTCCTCAGAGTTCCACTGGGAAAACTTTGTATTAAACTAACATCCAAGTGTTCCGAAATGAAGAAAACAGAAAAATTCTTAGGCCATGAATCTATACAAGCAGCAAACCATGTACTAAGGCACTAAGTACCCTCCTCTCAGAGTAAAAAAAGTGCCTGGCATCTGCTGGGGCCATGGTCCACACATCCTCAGGCACAGCCGGGGGGTGCCCCCCTTTTCTTGTGCCTTTCTTCTTAGGGAACATTTCACCAAATGGAACAAAAGCCCATTTCCATCCCAGGGGGCCCTTGGGGAAACAGCCCAGGCACCAGGCCTGGGAAAGGGAGCAGACACAGCTGCCCTGGGTGCCTTTCTCTACCCGGTGCCTGTCTGGGTTTCACCTGGGCCTCCCGCTGCCTCACTCTGCAAACGGCTTCTTCTGCTCCACCTGCAGCGTTCCCTGAAACGTCCACATTGCCACAGGCTGCCTTGGCACCTCTTTCCAAATTCCTGGCAGGGATTCTGGCTGTCCCACCTGAACTCAGGGGTCCACCACCTGTCTAATTTCCTGGCAGGGTAGCAGGGAGGAAGGCATCCTACAGTCTTTGGGGGCAGCCCCCTCGGCTGTGAGCGGGTCAGGTGCTTTAAGGAGGAAATGAAAGGAACCCCGGGTCCTCATTTTCCCTCTCCTCCACCACATACTGTGTTGGAACTGTTCTGCCTCTGACCACCCCCAGCAGGCTGCAGTCCTCCAGGGCCGAGGCCAAATCCCACTCCCTCTCTGTTTCTCCAGCACCTTCCACAACTCCCGGCACATAGAAGCTCAACAGATGTCTGTTGACAGAAACTGCACCACCACGTCTCTGGCTGCAGCACACAGAGTCTTTTCCTGTCCGGTTCTCAGGCTCCACACGGCAGGATCCATCTCAGCCCCCAGCTCAGGAGGAGACCACCCACAAATTCCTTTGATCCTTTACAGAAAGAAAAGCTTGTATGCTAAACCCATTGAGGACCTCCCACTCAGGCCAGCAGAAGAGACACATGCACTGCAGAGGTGAGGACAGGAACCCAGGGCTGAGGGGCTTCAAGCCCATCATGGGCCAGCTTCTCAGCGACCCCACTAGATATCTCTCACCATTGTGTCAGGGGAGCACCATCATGTGCAAGTACCTTAAACGTGTGTTAATACTGTCGCTGCTTCGTATATTTTAAAAGTCAGAGAGCATCGAGGGGGCTGATGGCATTCAAGGTCTGGTCCTTAGCCATGATGGACAGAAACACAAGTTTTTCATTCCTCAGAAGCAATTCAAGACAGAGGGATCTCACCCACATCCACAAAACCCACAGAAGACAGATACATTCAAATGCCAATTTATGAATGGATAGTGAGCAACTTAGTGAAGAAGCCTAAACAAACATGGTCACTGCTCCTTAAGTCTCTCGAGATCTACATGGAAAACCAAACCTCTAGAACAGCAATGAATACAAAGCATCAGATTGAGGACACCATCATGAATAAACCAGGACTCCAGGCCACCCTGTATACAGAGAAGTCAGAGAAAGATAAACCGGGCAACTGCAATGTAAGGTGGCAAGGGCACCCCTGGGGTGAAATGGGTCTTGAAGTGTGAGCAAAACCCCTAGGCAGAGAGGAAGGAAGGGGCCTCCCAGGCCTGCGCCCACGGAGAAAGGCTTGGCAGTGTCAAGGGTCCGGCCTGCTCTGGAAACACTGAGAAGTCCCCACGTGACCAGCACAGACTACACACATCCTGTGTGATGTCCTGTGGGTGTAGATGCACAGGCATAAAGGGGGCTGGGAGGGGCAGACTGGAGGTGCTTTCACGCCAGACATGGACTTCCTCCTTAAGCACCAAGGAAGGGACCTGGTGGGGCTTGTTTGGGAAGGTAATGCAGCACGGCAGGAGGGATGGGTCCTGAGCCCTGGTCTCCCAGCTGGGGGTGAAGGATGGCTGCAGGGAGAGCACAGGCTCTGTGGCCCCTGCTACTCCTCAGCCTTGCCAGACACTTCACACATTCGCTCGTACCCTGACAGGCCAAATATGGAAGAAATTGAAAATTAAAACTCATGACCTCCTCTCAATCTTCTTCCCCACCCTTCTGTACATGATGAAAATAACATCTTTCTCACGACAAAAGAAATCAGTACTTTCCCCAAAGCCACCAAATTTCAAAAGCTCATGGCCTCTCACTGAAACAACGCGTTAACGGAGTTTATCACACATTTAAGTCTAGAAGCCCACTAAGGCATGTGTAGATATCAAGCTGCATCAAACTTGCTTTAGGTGTCTGACGAGTTAATTTTTTGCAGATTGATTAGTTAAAGCTATCAGTCTGTGCTATGTGAGTGTTCGTCCCTACTCCCATTCATGTCTGGAATCCTAACCCCCAGGTGATGGTTTAAAAGGGAGGGCCTTTGGGAGGTGATCAGATAATGACGGCCCCTCTACCTTGATCTTGGACAACTCAGCCTCCCAAACTGTGAAAAGTAAGTGTTTGCTGTTTCCAAGCCACCCAGTTCATGGTATTTTGTTATAGCGGCTCCAAACAGACTAAGGCAGTCTACAAGCCAGAAACCCAGGATGTGGAGAGCAGTACTAACACACAGGAAAATTTGATTCCTGTGCAAACTACCGGCAAAAAGTTATTCTAAAGCTCTGTTTTCTCAGAGAGTAGAATGGTGGTTGCTAGAGGTGGGGGCGTGGGTGGGAAGTTTTGGTCAAAGGGTATAAACTTTCAATTATAAAATGTCTAAGTCTGGAGATCTAATGTACAGTACGGTGACCGTAGTGAACAATACCGAAATGTGTGCTTAGAATCTGCGTAGAGGGTGGATCTCAAGTGTTCTTACCATTAAAAAAAAAAAGCAGACTGGGCGCAGTGGCTCATGCCTGTAATCCCAGCACTTTGGGAGGCCGAGGCGGGTGGATCACGAGGTCAAGAGATCGAGACCATCCTGGTAAACATGGTGAAACCCCGTCTCTACTGAAAATACAAAAAATCAGCTGGTCATGGTGGCACGTGCCTGTAATCCCAGCTACTCAGGAGGCTGAAGCAGGAGAATTGCCTGAACCCAGGAGGCGGATGTTGCAGTGAGCCGAGATTGCGCCATTGCACTCCAGCCTGGGTAACAAGAGCGAAACTCCAACTCAAAAAAAAAAGCAAAAAACGGTAACTGAGGTGATGAACATGTTAACTAACTTGGTTGTGGTGATCATTTCACAAAGTATATATATATCAAATCATCATGCTGTACACCTTAAATAAATATAATTTTATTTGTCAGTTATACTTCAATGAATTTGGGAAAATATAAAATAATTTTTTTAAAAAAATTAAAGATTTTTTTCTCACCTCTGCAGGAAATGAAAACATCTGTGAACAAAACCAGAACTGTACCCAAACTAGAAAAAGAAGAGCAATTCCCTATTATCTTTTAAGCATTTTCTACTTCTGTAGGGCAACAGTTATCAAAAACCTACAGGAAACATTACAACTACAAAAGCATCATGGGAAAACTGTGGTCAAAACTGCAAGGAGCAAAGTCACCTCTTCAAAGCACCACTGCTGTGGCACATAACACGATGCCACTCCAGAGTGAAGGGGACTCCACTTAGCAGCGTAAAGGGCAATACAATCTAATACAAAAACTTTCATGAACCAGGAGTTCTGGAGGAAAGTCCTGGCTGCAACACAGACGTGACCAAGCTATCCTAATGAATGTGACGTGGGGCGGGTGGTAAAAGAACACAAGACAGATTGGCCGGGGTTTTAAAGAAGACAAAGCAAGTGTGATGGAAAAAGAGAATCAAAGCACCAGCAAATGACATATAGTGTGGTGCGCTGAGTAATGGCCTCCAGGGATACCTACAGCCTCATCCCCAGACCCTGTAAATACGTTACCTTATGTGACAAAAGAGACTCTGGAGATGTGATTGAGTTAAGGACTCTGAGGTGGACAGAGTATCCAGATGGGTCCAGTATCATCATGTGTCCTTCTAAGGGGGACAGGAAGACCAAGGACAGCAATGTGACTACAGAGGGAGAGGTCAGAGAGAGCTCGAGTTGAGGGTGCTGTGCTGCTGGGGTTAGATGATGTACAGAAGGGTCACCAGTCAGGACTGGAGGAGGCCTCTAGAAGCCGGCAGACACAAGAAAACGATTCTCCCCTGGAGCCTCTGTTTTCCAGAGGAAAACAGCCCTGCTAACACCTTGACTTTAGCCCAGTTCAGAAGGATTTCTGATTCCCATCTCCAGAAGGAAGATACATTTGTGTCATTTTAAGCCACTACATTTGTGGCAATTTATCACATCAGTCACAGGGGATAAGGATAAACAGCGGGAGGAAGGGATGCATGAAGTCAATCCAACTTTCTGGACAGTGAAGGGACAAGCTGAAAACTCTGCACTTCCCTTAAGCCAAAACCACTACATTCATTCAGGAGCCAGAAAGTCTCAGAGATCCCTACCATCTTTGACTGACCAGGGGAAACCTGAAGTCCTTCTCCTCATCAGCTGGGATCGTCCAGCTTTTCACTAAGGCTCAACGGCTATGGCTGTTTCCATTGAAAATATTTTTTCAGCCAGGCGCAGCAGCTCATGCCTGTAATCCCAGCACTTTGGGAGGCCAAGGCAGGCTGATCATAAAGTCAGGAGTTCGAGACCAACCTGGCCAATATGGTGAAACCTCATCTCAAAAAAAAAAAAAAGAAAGTATTTTTTCATAAAAACCTTACTTTTTCAGAGTGTGAATCTGTCTTGTACTTAGTACTCTGAATCCTCTCTGTTCTTCCTGACCTTTCAAGTCCCATGCCTTCTCCTCAGTTCAATCACTTCCTGACAAGCAGCAACAACATGTCAACCCTGGGGGCAATGTCCCTTCCCACCTGGTCCCTTCCCTTCCCTTCCCAGTCCGTGGCATTGCCCCCGCCTTGGGGTTCCTCTTCACCTCTCTTACCCATGTGG